GTGACTTCTGCCCCTGCTCCCCGCAGGTGTGACGCCTGCCCCGGCTCCCCGCAGGTGTGACTTCTGCCCCTGCTCCCCGCAGGTGTGACGCCTGCTCCGGCTCCCCGCAGGTGCGACCCCGGCCCGGCCCTGGCTCCCCGCAGGTGTGACCCGGACCCTGGCTCCCGCAGGTGTGATCCCGGCCCCGGCTCCCCGCAGGTGTGGCGCCTGCCCCCATCTGGGAATGGCCCAGTCCCGCCTGGTCCACAGGGAGAGGAACAGTGGTTTGGAGGGCTGCCAGGGGGCCCTCTCTCTCCGAGCTGTGGACAGCCTTGGTGAAAAAGGACACCATTGCTTTCCCGTCTCGTGCACATAAGGGCAACCTGAGCTCTGAACAATGGGGTCCATCTTTTTTTATGGAACCTCTACTATTAGTAACAGTTTTTGAACTTGCACCCAAATACATGTATATTTTTTATGTATTATATAAATGCACTCTTTACTGATCCGTTATGTACATTATAAAATATGCCTCAAAATAGAAAAAGAAAATTAAACTAAGCCAGGGATGAAATAAAAAATTGAAAAATAAGAACTTAAATCACGGTCCAAACTCTTTGTTCTTACTAATTTATTACTAACAAATTCTTTTCAAAGCAATAGTTTGACTATGCTTTATATATATATATATAGTCAATCTTGATTCAACACTTTGTGATATAGAAATTTGAAATTCTGATTCTAAACTCAGTTCCATTTGAAACATGGTCTTTATGGCAAGCAGCTGGGGCTGGAAATTCCTCACAAAGATGCATTGATGCAAATGGAGAAAGCACACCTTTGGAAGCTCTTAATAAATCATGGCACTCATTTCTCAGTCCCTTTTACCAATTATACCATTTTTGAAATTTGGACTCTCCAATATATGTTAAGGTTTTTGAAAAATTACCCTTGCAGTAACTTTTAGGAGAACTATAAATTTATAAAGATCTCCTGGAGGAAAGTTGGGATTATATTCCAAAGTCCTTACAAATGTGTCTATGAATTGATAGCATTTGAACCCCCCCCCCCATATTCTCAAGTTGAAGGGTGTATGTTGCTAAAGAAAAGTATTTATGGTTAATCATTTGAATGTATGGGAAAATTAAAATTTGAGTTTAACAACAATTTCCAGAAAGGATTGTTCTTCCCTTGGGGTTCATTTGGACTTTTGAATCCCTCACCCCAAATTCTGAATTATCCCACCACTTGGTAACTAACAATGCCAAGTCCTACAACTGGCTTGAAATCCCCATCATTCAAGTTCAGAGAAGGAGGTGTATTGAGCCACTGGCTTCACTGGCTGAGCTAAATCACTCCCGTTTTCAATTCCACTTCCTCTGGGCTGTGCTCTGAGACTGTTCTTGGGATTACTCAAGAACTGGTAGAGGGGCCTGTGGTTAGAGTCTCACCCAAATTCTTTTGACACTGGGTTAGAAAAGATTCCAAAAGGAAAGGGAATATGTGGAGCTGAAACCAATTTTCTGGTTTCTTATTTTATAAAGCACTTTTTATCTTGAACTAATTGTAGATTCAGAGTAAGTCATAAGAAATAATATGGAATATCCCATGTACTCTTTACTCAGTTTCCCCCAGTGGTACCATCCTGAAAAACTATAACACAGAATCACAGAATCACAAAAACCAGGGTTTTGACATTGATGCAATCCACTGATCTTGTTCAGAATTTCCCAGATTTATGCTGATTTGTGTTCTGTGATTTTTTTCACATGTGTGTGTTCAGGAATCCTTCACCACAATCAAGACACAGAACATACTCTCTTCTCTCTTCTGTTCCCACTTCCTCCTTTTTCCCCAACTTGACTGAGATATAACTGACAAACTGTATGTATTTAAATTGTACCCACACAATGATTTGATAAACATATTCATTATGAAAGGATTTCCACGATCAGGTTAATTAATACATCCATCACCCCAGATGGCTAACATTTTTTTTGTTTTGGTGAGAGCACTTAAGATCTATTCTTTAAGCAAATACCAATTTTACAGTACAGTATTATTAACCATAATTACCCTGCTGAATGTTAGGTCCTCAGAACTTATAATAGAAGTTGTGCCTTTGACCAACATCTCTGCATTTCCCTCCACTGTGACGACATGAATGTTAGATTTTTTGTTATTGTTCAGGGTCCACAAGGCTCTGTTCATTTTCCCCCAACTCCCAGTTACTTTCTCTCTCTTGTTCCCATTGGGTGATTTATGTTGTTTTACCTTCCAGTACTAATAATTTCTTCTGTCCCTTAATGTCTATCGAGTCTATCCTCGATAGAGGATAGATATCCTCTATCTTTGAGTTTCTTGGTTCAATTATTGTATTTTTCAGTTCTAAAATTTCCATTTTGTGATTGTTTATATCTTCTATTTCTTTACTGAAACTTTCTGTCTTTCCATTTGTTCCAAGTGTGTTTGCCATTGCTTGTTGAAACACTTTCATGATGGATTTTTTAAAATCTTTCTCAGATAATTTTCATATCTTGGTCGTCTTGGTGTAGGGCATCTGTTGCTTGTTCTTTTTCATTGAGTTTGATAATCTTGTCCTTGGCATTAGGAGTAATTTTTAATTGAAATACGGCCTTTTTTGTATTGTGTTTTAATTAAGTTTTAGATCCCTTAAAAGGTCTGATAAAATTGTATAGTGTGGTAAATTCACAGAACAAAAGAGAAAAGAAATTCTTACGGACATGTAAAAAGCTTGAAAGTATATTAAATGGTTAAGTTTTTTTGGAGATTAATATTCTCTGTGATCACTTCAAAAGATCAGCATTTCAACCTCTGTGACAGAAGAAAAAGCAAAACAGACTAAAAACCAAGGCATTGAAAGGTTAGGTTGTTTGAAATGTATTTTCACTGACTTTTCAGGGGAGGGTGAGACTGGGTTTAGAGACTTTTACTTACGGATCTGGGAAATCAAGCCACATATCAACCTGTCAGGCTAAGCAACGTGGGATAAACGAAATACCTTCTCATCGGTGAGCTGTTTGCCGGTCATCGACCAGAGTCAAAGAACTCTGGAGCAACCAGGCACTGTTGTCAATTCTCATCAAAAAATGGATAATCTGGTTGCTTAACAAATCTAAAAGGTAAAGGGAGAGACTTAGCCAAGTAACTGTTTCTGGGCTGGATAAAGAGAGGTTTCTTCTAAACTGGCTTAAGTAGGAAAATTAATGGAACTTTCTTTTTCGACAGGTACAAAGGCACCCAGTTTTATAATAACCATGTACCCCTCCTTGACACTGTAATGAATAGAATGTAGAAAATACACTTACAAACTCATGAACATAGATACAAAAATAAACCAATATGTTGCATTTTTGCAGGTACTGTATTATTCTCCAACCTAAGGAGATAAACTCTTTGTGTTGCTATTTTAAACTCCTAAGAGGGCAGAAATGATTTCTGCCTTTTTTAAAACCATGCCAACCTGGTTTAATACATAAAGTTAACAAATATTTCAAGGCAATGATGAGGAGGGTGATAAGAATGTCACTGTTGTTCAATTTCTTTCAAGCACGCAGAACTAATTCCTCTACCCCTTGACTCAGTAAGAAATTCCTTTTTAGACCTAGGGATGGATACAGTGATTATGATGTAAGTCACTTCATCAGGGTCATTTCATTTTAGCAAGGGAGGTAGACTCTCTCTCTCTCTCTCTCTCTCGCTCTCTCTCTCTATATATATAGTAATAATTTTGAGATAGGAAGCATTAAATCGCTAAATAATTAATTACTGATGAAAATGACCAATGTTAATTGCCCGCTTCTCCATTCTCCCTTCCTTTCCTTCTCTGTCATTTGATGCTATTATTCCTTCAACCAGCATTTAGTAATCACTCAGGGAGACAGTAGATTTTTAAAAATCCTGCCCTAGGAATCTAACATTTCAAATGAGGTAAATGGGAAATAAACAGCATAAATCAGTAAACCGTATGGTATGCTAATTAGGAATATGTGCCAACAGAAAAACAAAGTCGAGTAGAGAGAAAGGCTTTGCTGGGCAGGGTTGTATTCTTAGGTAAGGTGACAGAGAAGCCATCACGGAGGCGACCCCTGAGGGAGGACGCGAAGGAGGTGAAGGAGTGGGCATCCAGCTATCGGGAGGAAGAACATTCTAGGCAGAGAGAACAGTCAGTGCAAAGGCCCTGGGACGGGCCTGGCGTCTGTGAGGAACAGCTAGGAGGCCCCAGGGCTGCACTGGAGTCAGCAGGGGGACAGAAGGACGCAGAGGCGGACAGCGAGGGAGGGAGCATTCTGCTGGTCCCTGCCGGTGTTGTGAGGAACCTGGCCTTCACTCTGAGTGAGAGGGCAGGCCAACAGATGTCAAGAAGAGGAGTGCCCGTTCACTCTGGCCTCCAGGCGTGGAGCAGACGGCAGCCAGCTACCCGGGCGGGCAGACTTTGGGATGAGACAGTGTGTGGTGTGTGTGCGGTGGGGGGCATCGGCCCGCGCCGTCGTGAGCTCAACTGTAGACGTGACGGGTTGAGATACGTATTCCACACCCAGGTGCAGCTGAGTAAACGGATACACAAATCCTCATGGGTCTGGGCTGGATATAACTTGGGGAGTGTGTATTTAGATGGTGTTTGAAGCGTGAGACTGGATGAAATCCCCGAGGAGGTGGGTGCAGATAGGAGACAGAAGACGTCCAAGGACTGAGTCACTCCAGTGTTAGGTCAGGTGGATGGTGAGGAGGCTGCCAAGAACATGAGAAGGACCAGCTAGGGAGACCAAGGGACACAGACGGCCTGTGCGGAGGGAAAGCCAGGGACGTGTTTCTGGGAGGAGAGAGCGATTCGCCCCTAAGGCCCGATGAATGAGGAGAGGTCACGGCTGACCCTGATGAGAGGGGTTTTGGCAAAGTGGGGAGCAGGTGCCTAGTTTGTGTGGGTTCAGAAGAGGACGGGAAGAGAGAGCCTCGAGGTGGCAAGTATAGGCTTCTTCCAGAAGTTTCCCTGTGGAAGGAGGAATGGGGCGTGGCTGCAGAGTGAAGTCAGCTCAAGAGAAGATTTTGGTTTTAAAGATGGGAGCATGTCTGAATGCCTCTAGAAGTCACCCCATGGGGAGGGAAGTGGATGCGGAGTATGGGGTTTCCCCAGGTTTCGTGTAGCCCACTGAATTAAGGCAGAGAGAAGGGCAGAGGTCAAGGGTATCTGCAGGGGATGCCAGCACCCCGCTTGCCCCTGGAATGCAAGTGGGGTGGGGACAGAGGACAGGAGAGCCGCAGGGGACAGGGGTCGGAAGGTCAGAAGGAAGGATGTTTCCCAGCCACTCTCCTCAAAGACGAGGCGTCCCTCTGTGGACTGGGACCAGTGGAGACCATCACCGTCCTTCTCCCCAGCGTCTACAGCGCACCGAGCTACTTACATATCTGTAAAATAGCGAATGTTTCTGTCTAGGCCGTCCAGAGTTTCCACGTCCTCTGGTGTCAGCTGGAAATCGAAAACCTGTCAGAAACGGAAGAAGATGGGCTCCTTTTCCTTGTGCCCCTGACTGCCCCCGGCCCCCCGGAGAAACACACAGTTGTGTAGGGATGTATGCAGGTGTTGTGAGATGGTGGCCATGAACCTGGGGCTCATTCCCCTGCAAGAGTGTGGCAGTGGGTCCACTGAACTCAGACCACCCTCGGGGTTGCTCGCGGGTGCGGGTGTGGCTGGAACAGAGGAATCCTGGACAGGTTTAAGACCAAATCACATCTCGTCTAACTCCTCCACTCTGCCCCTGAAGAAATCAAGGCCATACTGTGAGGTAAAAAAAACAACATCGAGACCCAAACCTGACCCTCTGGAGTCCTTTCCCACATTCCTTCCCTGCCTCAGCCGGAGGATAGAGTAGTTACATACAGCACTTAGGTGCACACAGTATACACCCAAACAGACCTCGGGGGTCTCCCAGATAACCCAGACCAGAGGGAAATGAGGCACCTCTGTCGGTCCCCTGCTGCCCACGGCCCTACCACAAACCTGGAAGTTCTCCTGAATTCTCTTCTCATTGAAGCTCTTGGCCAAGGCCACCACCCCACCCCACTGCAGCTGGAAGCTCAGGGCCACCTGGGCAGGAGTGCACCTGTGCTTCTCGGCAATGGCCTTGAGCACTGGATCCTTCAGGAGAATGGGGGTGTTCTTGTTCACCCTGGAAAAGAGGCAGAGGTGCCGTGTGCCTGAGCTTGCATACCCACTCACGCTGCGGGTGCTTCATCCTCCGAAATCCGCCTCATTACCCTTTGGCTGTCTCCATCCCTGTTTTTGCTTCTTTTAGTAAATCCAGAGAAGGACCAGAGAAAGGAAGGCAGAAAAGGACTCTCGGGTATTATTTCATTTTTTTCAAACTTTTCTAAGTAATGTAGTAAAAGACTGGATAAGTCAAGAAGATAAAATGTTTGTCCAAAGCAGGACCCAATAATCTCCATGATAATAAATAATCTAATTATTTTATAACAACTTCAAAAATGCTTTCAAGTAATGATCTGTTCTGTTGAGTGCCAAAAGGTGCATTTTTATATTCCTCTTCAAGAGATAAAGAAACTAAGACTTACAGAAGTTGTTACTTGTCTCCTATCACTCAACTCTCAAGCGTCAGAATCGTGGCGTGGGCTCCCTTGGTCACTCTTGAAGGCCAAAGCTTTTGAATTGTGTGAATATTTTAATCAGTGATTTTATTACCTAATACTGTGTTCTTGAGTTGTTACAACGTAGGATAGTTAAAGGGTTTACAAGGATGGATTATTCCTGCCGTCTACAGTCAACCTCCCCCTGAGGGTTGAGCAATGACAACTCCAGAAGGTACGGCGTCTGTGGTTAGAAAAAATGCACAGAGGTCATTACCATTCCTTCCTGGAGTCAGACCCCAAGGCAGCATATGCGGTCAGGACGATGTCCTTGGGCTTGCAGAACTCCAGGAGTTTGCTCTGGTTGAGGTAAGGGTGACATTCCACCTGCAGAGTGCCAAGCAGAAGGGTTGGATCACAGGACCAGGGCCACCAAATTGATGAGGAACATACGGGGCTGTGTCGCATGGTCACAAACGCATTTAGGCGTCCCACAGGATCGTCACCCACAGCTGTGCCAGTGGAGTGGCCAGAGGCTGACCTCTGGATTACTGCCCAGAGACAGCAAGTACCGAGAAATGGGCTCGGGGCTCAGGAGAGACAAGCTCGGGCTGGGAGGCCTTGGGTGGGGGACACCCATTGTGTGAGGATACGCATTGCTCGTATCTAGGGAGGAGCAGCTCTGCCTTTCCTAGTTATCCTCAGCCTTACACTGATCTCTTTTCTTCACAGCCGCCACGCCTCATCCTCCACATCGGAATAATTTTGACTCCCGAAACCAGAGTGCTTTCCTCTTTCCCACCACATCATATTGTGATGTCTCTGCGCGATCCTTGGAGCCTCCAAACACCAGAACTGCTCTGCATCCCTGCACCGGTTCCCTTGCCCAAGCTCAGTCTTGTCCTGGGTGTAGAGGGATTTGTGACTTTTGGCCCCTTTGCCATCAAGTGGAAAGAAATGGCTAGTTGTTATTCGTCAGAAACTGTTATTAGTGTTATGAGACGCACACACAGCTAGTGAGGGAGGTTTCTGTGCAGGAACAGGTATTCAGTGGTGCTGTCTCCTCATTTTCCATCTGTCTTCCTTCCATGCACCCGGAGAGCAAGAAATCCAGAACCTTTACCCACAATGCCAAGCACGTCTTCTCTGCCTTCTTGTCCAGGTATATGTGGGCCAAGACCGTCAACCCAGCCATGGGACGGGTGGATTCTTGGGCTGGGGTTGGGTATATTCCCTTCCATCAGATCAGTTAGGCTCGAGTTAAACCCCAGGTGGTTAGGCTGCAGTGTAGTGGTTCGCTGTGGGGTGGGCCCAAACAGAAACAGAATGTTTTAACCGCTTTTCAAGCTGACTACTTTCCTTTCCCCCGGTTAGAAGCATGAGGGGATTTTTTTTCTCCAGCGTTCATTGGGAAAATCTGGTAGGGCTTCTGGAGGTAAAAAATCACAAAAGTGTGGGGACCACCCAATAGATGAGCCCCCTGGAGTCTTTAGCTCTCAGACTCGTCCACACTGAGCCTCCAGCAAGTCAGCAGCTGCTGTTTGACACTTTCCTGTCCCAAAGGGACCCTAGCAGCCCTTGTGTTCCTGGGAAGCTGTGATTCCCTGCATCTGCCTGTCTGCCTCTCCAATTTTCGGGGCAGCAGCTTGCCTGGACCCCAATCGTCTGAGGGATCGAAACAGAGTGGCTGGTTCTCTGTTGGGTCAGCTTCTTCATTATTGTACAGCCACAAGGCACAACTCCCCAGCTCCTTACGTGCCACGGCCCAACCCAGAAGTGCGGCGGAAGCACTTTCTGCTGCACACCTTTCTCGCTGCTTTTCCTCTGACTCCGGTGGTCAGATCAGAGGGAGCAGAGATCCAGAATGAGCTGGCTTGCTGGGGCTGGCTCAGGCAGGAAGTGCAAATTAAATCTCTGTGTCACGGCCACTCCTGTTTGCAGCTCAGGTGGGGAGGAAGGGGGACGTGTTGTATGCGGGGCCCCAAACCAAACCTGGACCCAGGTACACCTGACCTCAACCACTGTCCACGATGACCTGTTTGCCTCACAGGTCACCAGGGACTATACTCTGCACCAGCTCTTCAGGCCCGTGCAGATGCCCCGCCAACCAATGACCTCCCCTTGGCCATGTTCTGCTGGCTCTGGAGAGCTCATGGCCACGTTCGGCTTCTTAATTCGTCACCACTACCCTGGTCAGAACCAGTTTCTTTACTTACTCAAAACTTGTGATGCCCAAAGTGGAGGTAAACCTCCCTAGTTATCCTCAAGTTTTTAGAACTCCTTTGTATTTTCATCTAAAAATAAGCCTCCCGAATATTTAATACACGGACTGCCTATCCCTCTCTGTCAGCCAGCAGGTAAGAAATTTAAAAGGAGTTGACATAAACCCAGGGTGCGCGTGGGCCCTGCCTAGTGCAGAGGGGTGGCCGCTCACTTCCCTACTTATAGGATTTCTTACTTTATTCCGTAAAATAAGCAAGTTGAATGTGTGGCTTATTAAAGCAGATTTATCTTAGCAAGTGGACTTCTTAATTTTTTTTACTTGTAAATTTGTTATTGTGGTAAAATACACATAACATAAATTTACCATTTTTTATAAAAAATAAGTTTACCAGGGTGCCTGGGTGGCTCAGTTGGTTAAGCATCTGCCTTCGGCTCAGGTCATGATCCCGGGGTCCTGGGATCGAGCCCCGCATCGGGCTCCCCGCTCTGTGGGGAGTCTGCTTCTCCCTCTGCCCCTCCCTTGCACTTGTGCGCGCTCTCTCTCTGTCAGATAAATAAATAAAATCTTTAAAAAAATAAAAATTAAAATAAAAAAATAAGTTTACCATTTTAACCATTTGTAAGTGTAGGGTTCAATGGCATTCATGTATTCACATTGTGGCAGGCCGATTTTGTACCTTTGAGTCTTAGTGGTTATCTCATGACACAGAACTCAACAGAATTCCCCGTTTTCCTTTACGCAAGGGTGTTCCAACTTTATTGACCAGAGGTGAGATAAGCCCAGTAGCTGGTTAGCTTTAATTTTCTAGGACCAACCACCATAGCACCTCTAGTTGATTACACTCCAACCTGACCCTTTGATGTTTGTTTACAAAGCAATGTGGCCTTGGGACCTGTTTCAACAACTTGCAGTGCACTCCGTTCTCTAGAGGGGAGGGAGAGGCCACTGGTGACCTTGTTGAAATGAGGGAAGAGGAAGCTGAGGAGGGAGAAGAGGTTGGGGCGTGGGGGGGCGGACTGGTGAGGCTCACCTGGTTGCAGACAGGCTTGTACTTGAGCCCTGGCTTGTTCAGGATCATCTCCAGCGGCCTGCAGCTCAAGTTGGACACGCCAGTGGACTTGGTCAGCCCTAAATCCTTACACTTCTCCACGGCCTGTGGACGGAGGGGGTGTAAGGAGTTATCTGTGTAACCAGCTGGGGAAGCGTGGTAAACAGTAGCATGCTTAGCCTGGGGGCTGGGGCTGGGAGAGAAGGTGAGACACAGCAGGAGAGAGAAAGCCTTGAAAGGTGCCGATGTCAATAAATGAGATAGGAATTAACCGAGTATGAGAATGAAAAAGAAAATAATAGAAAAAAAATGAGTAAGAAGATAGAATAAGGAAAGAAGGCAAGTGGTTCATGACAAAGCTAAAGGGGCTAATGCGATTTTTAGCTGAAAGCTAGAGAACCTTGAGCGATGGCAAAACAAGCTCCAGGAGAACAGGAAGTGGAGCCTGGGAAGCACAGGAAGCAGGGAGGAGGCCATACATGTCCCCCAGACCACTGGCTCCCTCTTTTCCCTTTGACTTCATTTCCTATTAGGGTTACCAGATTCACTCTGTTCCAGTCACACATGCCCCTTTGCTGTTCTTGAACACAATAGGTTCTCTCTCACCTTAAAAACTGGGCCTTGGGAGCACCTGGGTGGCTCAGTCATTAAGCGTCTGCCTTTGGCCCAGGTCATGACCCTGGAGTCCTGGGATCAAGCCCCACATCAGGCTCCCTGCTCAGCAAGGAGTCTGCTTTTCCCTCTCCCTTTATGCTCTCTCTCTCTCACTCGCTCTCACTCTTTCTCAAGTAAATAAATAAAGTTTTTAAAAGAAAAAAAGCAACACTGGGCCTTGGCTTTCTTTATGCCTGTATCACTCTCCCTCCAGATACCCACACGATCAGTTCCCTTACTTCTTGCAAATCTTTGCCCAACGTTAGCTGCTCAGGAGGGCCTACCCTGCCCATCTGCCTCCCATAGCTACCTTGGCATTCTCAGTTCCGTGAGGCAGCCTTCCCTTCCCACTCCAACCTCTTGCCACAGCACCTTCCACGCCATGCGACCAGAGACCTTGATCTGCTCACTGATGTAGCCTGAGAACTTAAAAATTCTCCGCACTAAGTACACCATAGGCACTCAATAAGTACTTACTGAATTATTAAGTGGGGGCGATGTGAAACCAAGGCAGAGGGACATCCAGGGACTCGCCCAAGTCTACACGGGAGCAGAATTGGACGAGACACATGTTTCCTGGACTCCTTGTCCATCCTCTGTCTCCCAACATGCAGAGACGCGGGTAGCACCTTTGGAACTGTACTCACCTCCCATGTGGCACAGAAATCCACTGTGTCAAAAATGATTTCTCCATCTTTGTCCTTTGGAAAAAGTTCCTCCCCAGGCTGGGACGCAGAAAAGAATGAGACGTTGTATAAAGCTATGTTTGGCCCCAGCCAAGCCATCTAGAGCCTACAGACCTTGAGACTAATGCAGCAATCTATTCTCATTCTTGAAACGAATGGAAAGGTCAGGCTAAAGGGAAAGAAAGTACGTGGAGGAAGTATACTTCCTAGAGAGTATGTTTTTAACTGCTAAAGGTTTAATGAATATTGTTTGTGTCAAGGACAACTTGAGACACCCAAGGCCCCATCCTAGAGAGAAGTAAGGGTGGTGCCAGGACTCCACAGGCCCTTTGGCCCCGGACCCTTGTGGGATAGGCCACTCCCACCCCTGCTTTCCATCTGGAGGTGGCCATACGAGAGCATGACTCATCAGCATCTCAAGGCCTGAGTTCCAGACTCATTAAATCTCCGGTACCTCAACTGGTCTCCACATCGGGACATTCCCCAAACACAAGAGGACAGAGGCTGAGATTTGGGCGCATGGGATCTTCAAAATACAGGCAATGGATTCATAAGATCGAAGCAAAGACATGGAAGCCAATGAGCTTTTGTCACTCTGGGACTGAGATGGGAATATCGTAGCAGAAAAAGGGGAATCTCAAAGTATTATGTATGTTTTCTCCTCATTTTTATAAACTATATCCTCTGCTGTATTCAGCTACTAATTGTTACATTGATCATCAAAGTAAAATATCTTTGCTAACCTTCAAAGCGGCTGGGAAATGAATGAGATAAAGGTTCACATAGCTCAACCCAAGCTTCCTCAGGGACGTGTCCAGGCCAGTTTGAACCAATTCTGGACGGAAGAAGGTTCCCCACACCTGCAGTGGTCGAAAGAGAAATGGTATGAGATGATTTTTTTTTAAGAATCTTTTTTTAAGATTTTTTTATTTATTTGACAGAGAGAGACACAGAGAGAGAGGGAACACAAGCAGGGGGAGTGGGAGAGAGAGAAGCAGGCTTCCCGCGGAGCAGGGAGCCCGATGCGGGGCTCGATCCCAGGATCCTGGGATCATGACCTGAGCCGAAGGCACACGCTTAACGACTGAGCCACCCAGGCTCCCCCTTTTTTTTAAGAATCTTTAGGAGAAATTAATAAAGTATAAAACAGTCACTATTTGTAATGCAGACATGATACCATATAAAGACTCCACCAAAAAACTATTAGAACTAATAAATTCAGAATTCAGTAAAGTGGCAGGAGACAAAATTAATATACAGAAATCTGTTGCATTTCTATACAATAAGGACACAGTAGAAAAAGAACTTAAGAAAACAATCCCATTTACAATTGCACCAAAAAGGATAAAATACCTAAGAACAAATTTAATCAAGGAGTAAAAGACCTGGATTCTGAAAATTATAAGACATTAATGAAAGAAATTAAAGATGACACAAACAAATGTAAAGATACACCATGCTCGCAGATTGGGAGAACTAATATTGTTAAAATGTCCATACTACCAAAAACAATCTACAGATTCAATGCAATCCTTCTCAAAATACCAACAGAACTAGAACAAACAATCCTACTATGTATGTGGAATCACAAAAGACCCTGCACAGCCAAAGTCATCTTGAGAAAGAAAAACAAAACCGAAAATATCACAATTCCGGACTTCAAGTTATACTACAAAGCTGTAGTCATCAAGAGAGTATGGTCCTGGCACAAATAGACACATAGATCAATGGAACAGAACAGAAAACCCAGAAATGGACCCTCAACTGTATGGTCAATTAATCTTCAACACAGCAGGAAAGAATATGCAATGGAAAAAAGACAGTCTCTTCAACAAATGGTATTGGGAACACTGGACAGCAACATGCATACACAAAAATAAACTCAAAATGGTTAAAGACTTATATGTGAGACCTGAAACCATAAAAAGCCTAAAAGAAAACACAAGCAGTAATCTCTTGGATGTTGGCCTCAGCAACATACTTATGGTTATGTCTCCTGAGGCAAGGGAAATAAAAGCAAAAATAAACCGTTGGGACTACACCAAAGTAAAAAGCTTCTGTACAGTGAAGGGAACAATCAACAAAACAAAAAAAGCAACCTACAGAATAGGAGAAGATATTTCAAATGATATACCTGATAAGTGGTTAATATCAAAAATACATAAAGAGCTTATACAACTCAACACCAAAAGAACAAATAATCTGATTAAAAATGGCAGAAAACCTGAATGGACATTTTTCCAAAGAAGACATGCTGATGGCCAACAGACACATGAAAAGATGCTAAACATCATCAACCATCAGGGAAACCCAAATCAAAACCACAATGAGATACCACCTCACACCTGTCAGAATGGCTAAAATCAACACCACAAGAAACAACAGGTGTTGGCGAGGATGTGGAGAAACGGGAACCTTCTTACACTGTTGGTGGGATTGCAAGCTGGCGCAGCTGCTGTGAAAAACAGCATGGAAGGATGTTCCTCAAAAAATTAAAACTAGAAATACCATATTATCTACTACTATAATTCCACTTTGGAGTACTTACCCAAAGAAAACGAAAACACTAATTCAAAAAGATACATGCACCCCTATGTTTATTGCAGCATTATTTACAACAACCAAGATATGGAAACAATCCAAATGTCCATTGATAGATGAATGGATAAAAAAGATGTGATATATATGTATATATACAAATGGAGTCTTATCCATAAAAAAATGAAATCTTGCCATTTGTGACAACATGGATGGGCCTAGAGGATATTATGCTAAGTGAAATAACCCAGAGAAAGAAAAATGCCATATGATTTCACTTATATGTGAAATCTGAAAAGCAAAACAAATGAATGAACAAACAAACAAACAGAAAAGAGAAACAGAGTCATAAATACAGAGGAGAAAATGGTAGTTGGTAGTTTCCAGAAGGGACGGGAGGCAGGGGAGGGGTGAAACAGGTGAAGGGGATCAAGAAGTATGAACTTCCAGTTAGTTATACAGTAAGGAGGTCATGAAGAATGGAGACTATATATAGTCAATAATGTTGCAACAGCATTGTATGGTGACGGATGGGGGCAACACTTATCGTGGTGAGTGCTGTGTAATGTATAGACTTGTCAAACCACTCTGTTGTATGCCTGGAACTCAAAGAATATTGTATTTCAACTTATTGTATTTCTACTTCTGTAACAAAAAATGCTCTTTTAACTTCACTTCAATAAAAAAAAATTGTTGTATTGTAATATGGCTTAGTTGATTGAGTCATCAGGGGCTTGCTGCCTGGTTCTAGCCTAAGCGGAAACAAAATTATTTGATTCAGCTAAAAAAAAAAAAAAAAAAAGAATCTTTAGGAGAAAATAATAAAATGGCAAATCAACAACAACAACAACAACCACAAATCCAAGTGCTGTCATTGGGAAGTCATCCTGCCAAGCTCCTAAGTTCCATATCCTCATGGCTTCTGTTTCATACTGAATTAAGACAATGCGGTAGAAACGGACAAGTATGGCCCTACACAGAGGGACTCAAACTTTAAAGTTTTTTTTTTAATTTATTTATTTGACAGAGAGGGACAGCGAGAGCAGAAACACAAGCAGGGGGAGTGGGAGAGGGAGAAACGGGCTTCCAGCTGAGCAGGGAGCCCGATGTGGGGCTCGATCCAAATGTATATATTTTTTAAAGATTTTATTTTATTTGAGAGAGAGAGAGACAGAATAAGCGGGGTGAGGGTCAGAGGGAGAAGCAGACTGTGCTGGGCAGGGAGACCAATGTGAGACTCCATCCCGGGACTCTGGGATCATGACCTGGGCTGAAGGCAGACGCTTAACGACTGAGCCACCCAGGCGCCCCACAAACTTTAGAACGTAAAGGAATTAATTGGTCTCCCTGTATAGAACGCATCCCTGGGTTCTACCTCAAACCTAATAAATCACAGTATCTAGAGATTGAGCTGGGAAATCGCATTTTAAACAAGAACCTCAAGCAGTTGTGATTCAGGAAATTGTGTCTTGACTGTATTAAATGGTTCAGTGTTCCCAAGAAAATTCGGCCCTATAGGGATTTTGGTGGGGAGGGTACTTTAGTCAGTTTATTTTAAAGAAGGAATAATTTAAGGAAAATCAATCAAAATTGCTAAAACCAACAAAACAAAAGGATCTAATGGAAAGGAGATAAACAGATGAGAGTAAGATGGTGATACCGTGTCTAACACATAGAGAAAGCTTCATCTTCTGGAGCGAAAAGGAAGAGATATCTGTTCACAGACCTGCCTAGGATTCATTTGCGTGGACTTCAACTCTCTCTTCATGGGCTACTTCACCTCACGTTTAAATATTTGGTTCTAGGGTGCCAGGGTGGCTCAGTCGTTAAGCGTCTGCCTTTGGCTCAGGTCATGATCCCAGAGTCCCGGGATGGAGTCTCACATTGGTCTCCCTGCCCAACACAGTCCGCTTCTCCCTCTGACCCTCACCCCGCTTATTCTCTCTCTCTCTCTCTCAAATAAAATAAAATCTTTAAAAAATATATACATTTGGTTCTAGTAGTAGTCAGCTCAATGAACACTACTGGAAAAATGCCTCTTGGATTCTCTTTCTAGTCTGACTTAAATACGTAAGTTCTTTTATTTGTTTCAGGTATGATATCCATGGATGTGAGGAATAGAGGAGAAAATGCTCAAAAGTAAAATATGTGTGTGTGTGTGTGTGTGTATAGGGACGCCTGGGTGGCTCACTCAGTTAAGCGTCCAAGTCTTGATTTAGCCTCAGGTCAAGATCTCAGGTCATGAGATAAAGCCCCGTGTAGGCTCTATGCTCAGCGGGGAGTCTACTTGAGATTCTCTCTCCCTCTGCCCCTCCCCCTGCTGGTGCGCATGCACACACTCTCTCTAAAATAAATAAGTACATCTTGGGCACCTGGGTGCCTCAGTCGGTTGGGCGACTGCCTTCGGCTCAGGTCATGATCCCAGGGTCCTGGGATCGAGCCCCACATCGGGCTCCCTGCTCAGCGGGAAGCTTGCTTCTCCTTTGCCCACTCCCCCTGCTTGTGTTCCCTCTCTCGCTGTCTCTCTCTCTAACGATTAAATAAATAAATAGAATCTTTAAAAATAAATAAATAAGTACATCTTTTTTTTAAAAGTTAACAAAATACATAAGTATTTTTACAAATATTAATTTCATGCTTGGAGCAGTTCTATTTTCCTACTTCAGAGGAAAGAGACCTAACATGTCTATTATTCACAGATACAGAGGGAACTATACACAGAACCTTCGAAGAGTAGAATATGTCCTCTCTCGTCACCGTGCCATCGGCATTCTTCTTCCGGATGGCCCTCCCAATCTCTTCTTCATTTAGATACAAATAAGCTGAGTCAATATGGCGGTAGCCTACATTGATTGCTGTCTTGATGGCCTCTTCTACATTACTCTTTGCAACCTAGAAGACCATAAAAAGACAAGGACCTACTGGATTCAGGAATGGCCAGTTCCACAAGCAGAGCTATTCAGCAGGACCTATTGTTTTTCTAAGGGCTGAGAGCTAGAGATGACAGAGCTAAATGATGACTTATAACCTTAGTGGTAAATGTTTAACAACAGACTCTCTGAAGAAAAGAAGTCCTGATTTAGAATATTTGCCAGTTTCTATGGTATAAATACTCCCCTCACTGCTAACTTCAAGCTATGAATATTAGGAAAAGGTGCTCACTGTCGGATCTGGTGAGCCCATGAGCTGGCCCCACTCGTCACTGGTTTAACCCTCTGCCTCTGGATTTACATGATCTGTGGTTTTATACAGTCTATAGATTTACAGTCCCAAGTTAATTCACTGGTAAGAGATTATTACACTGATTGCAATTCAGAAGTCTAAGGCTCAAAATTATCTATCAGTGCAATGAAGGTATAACTTTACACAGAAAAATTAATGATTTACCTATGTCAACTTGGAAAAACACTTCAAACAACATTTGAGGAAGGACAAAGAGGTAAAAGAAAATAAACTATTTTTTTACGCAAAATAGCTCATTAATTTGTTGTTATGGTGGCAGTTATTACTAAGTTGGTGTCTGTAGGTGATACTTTCTCCTATAATCAATAGACAACTTGGTTATTTTTCTTAGCTGCCTACTGTTCTGCTGCTTTACCAGGCTGGACTTTTAAAGTTATCCATAATTTCCCCTCTCTGTGACCCTCCTCTCCCTCACTTAAAATGTCTCCAGGATTATTTTTTAATTTGTAACTCCCAACGATACAGACTTAAAAGCCATGTCCAAAGAAAAGCAACATTCTGTGCTAGGGTCCTTGCTGAGTCCTCAGCATGACATCCCATGTGACTCTCACACTGGGGAACGAACCCTACAACTTGCTTTAAATAGTTATAATCTCCTCCGCCAAGAACCACCGAAGATGTGCTCTTGTAAATTCGCGATGTTCAAACGAGAAACATGCATGGAGCTCAGTTTTCCAAGCAGAGAGAGAATTTCCAAGGGCCACGTGGCTCTCCCCATGGCACAGTCTTAACAACCGGGCCTCGAAGAGAGTATTTCCACTCCAGACCACCAACACTCTCTCTACATGAATCTCGCCTCTCTCCAGATCCTTCAGCAGCTGAGATTTCTCTAGATATTCTACGAGCATGGGTGGACAGAGAGGTCTTGGACCCTGGGCATTACAAAGAAACTTCATGACAAGCAAGGTTGCTGCAAAGTCCCTGACTCCTGGGTTTCACTGATTCCAACAGACTTTGAATGGCTACAACTGGACAGCAGGTGAAAGGAACAGAAACAGCCTTGCCCACCCCTGGACTGCTGATAGATGACACACTTCCATGTCCCTTGATAGAGCACCACTCCAAGTGTGATCCTTGGATAAACGGCATCAGAGTCACTGGGTAGCTCATTAGAAATGTGGATTTTTGAGGCCTATCCCAGATCTACTCATTCAGAAGCTTTGTGGGTGCAGCCCCCAAATCTGCATTTTTAACAAGATCCTCAGGTGTTTGTATGCCTATTAAAATTTGAAAAGCATTGACCTAATGCACAAAACAACCTAACCTGGAGAGAAGCAGCTTAGAAATGGAGAAAATGAGGCCTTCCTGCATTTCCTAAATTCTGATTCTGATAAGGACCCATGTCTGCTACTCTCCATCCCCAATGTCATTACGACTACCTCACTAGGAGCAGAGGTGCCAAAACCCAACACAGGCATGAGGTGTCCATCATTCAGCTTTATAGAGCAAGCTTTCACTGGGTCCATCTCTTTGCACTCTTCTGGCTTTTTATTAAAAGAAATCTGCTGAGGGGAGAAAATAATATAATTGACATTTTTTTTAACAGCTTTAATGAGATATAAGTCACATACCATAAAATCACCCCCCTTAAATTACCCAAGCCAGCAGTTTTTAGTATATTCATGGACTTGTTATCCATATACAAATTTAGAGCATTTTCATAACCCTTCAAAACCCCATACTCATAGAAACAACTCCTCACTCCTCTCTCCCTTCGACCCCTGGCAACCACTTTCTGTCTCTTTGGATTTGCCTATTCTGGAAATTTTATATAAATGCATTCATACACTGTGTGGCATTTTGTGGCTGCTTGCTTTCACTTAGCATAATGTTTCCAAGGCCAGTCCACGTCGTAGTGTGTAATAGTCCTTCATTCCTTTTAATGGCTAACTAACAGCCCTTTGTACAGATGTACCACATGCTTTTTATCCATTCATCAGTTGACAAACATTTGGTTTTTTCAGCTCTTTGCCTACTGGGAATAATGCTTAAGTAAACATCCATGCACATGTTTTTGTGTGGACATACATTTTCAATTCTCTTGGGTCTATACAGAAGCCTGGAATCACTGAGTCATAGAGCAAACCCAGGTTTAACGTTCTGAGAAACTGCCAAGTGTTTTCCGAAATGGCTGTAACATTGACATTCCAATTCTTGAGAATTCCAATTTCTCCACATCTTCTCTGATACCTGTTACCCACTGTTTTTTGTTAATAGCCATCCTGACAGGTATGAAGTGATATTGTGGTTTTGATCTGCATCTCCCTGATGATGAGTGATGTGGAGCATATTTTCATGTACCTCTTGGCTATTTGCATATCTTCTTTGAAGAAATGTCTACTTCAGTCCTTGCCCATTTTTTAATTTGTTATTAGTTTCCTTTACTAACAAGTTGTGGGAGTTCCTTATATATTTTGGAAAGGAATTTCTTATCAAGTACATGGTTTGCAAATGCCAAATTCTTCCATTTCAAAGAATGCCTTTTCTCTCTGTTGATGGTTTCCTTTGCTGTTTTCAAGCTTTTTGGTTTGATGAAGTCCCACTTGTTTATTTTCATCTTGTTGCTTGTACTTCTGGTACGAAATCACGATTAATGTCATTAAGATTTTCTCCAATGTTTTCCTCCAGAGTTTTAAAGTTCTAGGTCTTACATTTAAGTCTTTAATCCATTTTGAGTTGAATTTGACAACCCCAATACATTTGTATTATTCTAACATGGTCTTAGAATGATTAATCTTCGATTAATTTTGTTTTTAACCTATTTAATGAACCTCTAACTCTGGGCCTACCTCCATTTCTAAGTTTGAATTGATAAATTAAGAGAGCAATTGAGGGGTGCCTGGGTGGCTCAGTCGGTAAAGTGTCTGCCTTTGGCTCAGGTCATGATCTCGGGGTCCTGGGATTGAGCCCCATGTCTGGCTGCCTACTCAGTGGGGAGTCTGCTTCTGCCCCTCCCCCTGGTTGTGCTCTCTCTCTCACTCAAATAAATAAAATCTTTAAGAAAATAAAAATAAAAAATAAATAAATAAAAGAGCAATTGAAATCCAGGCATTATCTGCTTCATGATATGTAGCAATAGGAAGTACACAGACTACCTAAACAGTTTTGAAAAAAGAAATTATAATGATATTTATTCCGATTTTATGATGCTATGGAAAATTATTAAATATATATATTTTGAAGCTCTTATCTGATGTTTCCAAGCCAATTTCTCAAAAGGCTCTGCCCTATCAGTGTTTACACTCTGATCAACAGAGCATGAAAATTCCTAGCTCATTGACCCTGTGACAGTATTGTGATACATCATTGAAAAATTTCTAAACAGACTATTGGGCTGTCACACTCCTTTTCTAGCATGTATTATCCATAATAAATAGAGCAGGTCTCATTACAAGAGGCTGACTAACGCTGTTATGTTAATTTCTGGATTCTGACTCTGTTAATCTTTTCCTTCTCTCTCGTGCCTAAATCAGGTGCATTAAAGCATCTCCTCCTCTCCTCTCAAAAAGGCATTAGACTCCCAGTAAGTTTATTCCACCTTGCTTACACATAGGAGATGTGCATGAAATGTATGCTAACTAGACGTACTGTGGCCATCATTCCACTATCTATCCAAATATCAAATCATCACGCTGTACATCTGAAACACATAATGGTATACCTCAATTATATCTCAATAAAAAAGAGAATATGCATTATAAATATTAAAAATATGTGGGGGGAAGAGAAAATATGCATTAAAAATGAAATACCATTTTCATGAGTCTGTTTAAATTGTTGTATTCCATGAAAAGATCAGCTACAAAGATGGTGAAGAAAGTAAGATTTCACTACGTAAACAATGCGTACCTGGGGTATGACACTCCAGAATGTTGACGATTACTGTGATATTTATTATTTTATTGTGATTCTGGTCTCTGTTCTGGAGTAGCCAGTTTTTAAGATCCCTAAATGAAACTGTATTAATTTTGAGGAAACACTAAAATTCATTTTAAAAAGTCCCTGGGTTTGTAGATTTTATTGCATAACTGGTCACAATGAACTTGCCAGCAGGTGTTCAGCCTGCCCAGATTTAGAGTCCCCAAATGCCTTCTCAACCTGCGCCCTCCTGGCCTCCTCTGCTCAGATGTCTCCTGTCCTTTCCCTTCGATGTCTTGTCTTGGCCCCTCTAACTAGAACTGCTCTGTCTCTGCCTTTGCTGAGTTTAGAAATTCTTCCAAGACCTTTGAGCTTGCCCAAAGCCAGCTCAGTGACTGGCACCTTCTCCTTGGGTTGCATCGTTCATACCAGGGATTGTTTAATTATGAAACACTTGTTGGTATTTTCTGGACTTTGATACAGACTACCACCTTGAATCGGCATCTGCAACTCCCCCTCAGTACTGATTCTCAACCGTCTCAAATCTCAGTTTCTATTTGCCTGGTTTCTCCATTTTATTTTAATTTCCTTTAACCAACTTCTTTAATAAAGTAACTGTGAACATAGCACAAGATATTAGTGGTTGACAATACCTCACCCTTTAAGAAATATATCCAATCGGAAATGTGATGTGAGCTCATACTTCTAAAATTATGTTTAAGATACTATTTCCGGCTCTGTCTCTCCTAAGGGAGGCAAACGGGACCTAGTAGCATCACTACCTACCCCCAATTCTCTTGTGTGATACCAGTGACTAGAGTTTACTCCCTAGCTCTGTTTCCTCCGAAAAGAAATCTGTCTTCTTAGAGAGTAGGTATTTGTGTCTTGCATCAGGAAAATTCAGGACAGAACTGAACACCATGTTGATGCCAGAAATCAAGCCAGCAACAAGGCTGATAAAACAAGGCATCCAAGGAAGGAATCCTGCCAGACCACCTGTGACAATTTGAAAATGAAAATAACATTACCATCGTTATTTGGAAGAAGTTGATTCTACGAAAAGCCACAAGTTCATAATTACAGTGAAAAACAGAAAATTAATATAAAGGTTGGGAAAAGGCAGTTGAAATATAAAAGCTGGATGAACACAAATAAAATATGTTGAGTTTGTCACCGGTTTTAATAAGTGCGGGAAGGTGAATGGACGTGACTATTTTTTCTTCTTTTATATCCATGGCAGGTGATAGAGTAGAGCTTTGAATGTCTCTATTTGTGCAAGCGGGACACTGAGGCAAGCCCAGCATCTCTGAAAGGGCACCAGGTGGGAAGGATGGTGGCAGGTGTATGGACAGGAAGTGTGTCGAGTACAGGGACAATGGATCCACCAGTGGCCACACAAGTGACGGGTCAGTGGTCCGGTGCTCAAGTACAGAAAGAGCTTCACAATTGCTTCTTGGCCTTTTGGCTAAGATCAAGTGTAGAAAGAGCTTCACAGTGTGGAAGAGAGGTGAATAAATCCTGTGGACCCCATAACACTGGTAAATGGAAACTCTAAAAGGCAGGTCCATTCATGAGACACCAGGTTGCAAAAATACTAAAACCTATAAGAAAGGCAAAGTCACGGGCACTTTCTAAAGTATGTAGAAAGTAAAGGTTTACCATTAAAAAAAGAGGTCATTTTGGTGATCGGTGGCTTGGATTTGAATCACCTGAGGAGAGGCAACCATATCAGGGCCCTAACTAAGGATAAATCAATCATCCAAATCCCACTAATTTTTTGGTTCCAAAACATTTTACTTCCAACAATACTGACAGTTGGAATTCCATAATTTTCAAGTGTCCTGAAATATTATTTGTCCTTTGGATTTTTCAGCCATTAAAAAAAATGTCTAAGTCATTTTTAGCTTGGGGGCTATACATACACAGGCAGTGAGCCGTGCTCACTTTGTGGATCTCTGCTCCATATAATTAGTAGACATTACGATATCTATGATTATCTTTCTATAAATTATGTCTTAACTGTGACAAAATCTGCATAACAATGTCATTTTGACCATGCATAACTACACAGTCCAGTGGCATTAAATAGATACACAATGTTGTACAACCATCACCACTAACTCTACACAAGACATTTTTGTCATCCCCAACAAAAACTCTGTACCTGTCAGAAAATTTCCTTTGGGAGAGTTCACTACTGATGTGTAGAAACACAACTGATCTCTGTATGTTCGTCTTGCTCCTTGCAAGTTTGCTGAGCTCATTTATTAGCTCTACGAGTTTCTTTATGAGCCCTTTGGGATTTGCTGTACGTAAGGTCACGTCATCTGTGACTGAGAATAGTTTTCCCTCATCCTTTCCAATTTGGATGCCCTTTGTTTCTGTTGCTTGTCTCATGGCTCTGGCTAGAGGGTCCAGTATAATGTTGAATAGCAGTGGTGGGAATGGGTGTCCTATCTTGCTCCTGATCTCAGGAGGAATGCTTTCAGCCTTCCAACACTGAGTGGGATGTCAGCTGTGGGTTTTTAATGTATGGCTTTGCTGGGAGTTTAGCTAAACTACTGCATGACGTCGCTGCCTCAGCATCCCTTTTGTGCGGCTAGGTACA